GTACTTTCAAAAATATTGGAACGAACCGTTTGAGAAGAACTTTTCGAGAGGTGTAGTACGCCGCGTCGGCGAATTTCCAGAAACCGTATTTTCCGTTTTGACATTTCTTCCGCATTTCGATTGCCTGTAATCATAAAAAATTTGAAATGAAAGGAATGATTCACACGTTTTGTCAGTCTTGAGCTTTATTCGCTCATGGATGGAGATGTACGCAATTTTAATATGGTAGTTGAGCCTTCAATAATTTCTGAAGATCTGTTTAAATTTTTCAGCACCCCTGTTGAAATTTATAATATTACACAACGTTGCAATTTTCACCATCACCATGCAAAAATGAGATACACCGTCCATATTAAATTTCGTAGCGCGTTTTATGGATGCTCATAATCCAGTGACATGAGATATTGAAAAATCTTCTACAAAAGGATGTCCCGGATCTGCGAACGATGTGATCTACTTGTGAAAATTTCCTTGCTCGTGATGCTAATTTTGCACTACGATGTCTACTGGCGCAAAAAAAGATTCCCAGTCACGTTCTACGATAAAAAAACTAAATAAATTCTTGAGAATTGAAGCGCGGCTTTTTCCAAAGTATTACTCATTCTACAAGGATCTAGAATTAGGATAATGTACTCAAACGAAGTCCTTTCAAGGTAAACAAGAGACAATCGATTCAGATTGAAAGTGTAATCACAGGGCGGTCTTGACTTACTTCATTTGACGAGCGAGTCGGAATTTCAGCAAGGCTTTTGCAGTGGTATCAGAGTCTTCACCACTGGAGCAGTCGGCTTCACAGACCCAATAATCCTTGAGTCGTGTCCTCGGTTTGAATCCGTCTGATGAGGAACTCGATGAGCTTTCATCTGAATGATGGAGCACAAATGTATGTTATTTTCTGGGACACCTCAGGGAAAATGTCCCTTTCGTGGGATGGAAATACGTTTCAAACAAACCCGTCTCTTCGGTGAGAAACTATTTAAAAGGATGCGGTAAATACTGTGTGTCTCTAATGACCTGAATATTTACTTGACGATGATTTCCAAAAGTCGATTGATAAATAGGGAAACAAGTCAATACAGATGGACTCTCTCTACAACGAAATTCAAGGGACCAGAAAAAAACGTTCGTTGTTCAAGAGAATTATACCAGTAATTCACTGGTTGATTCATACCTCCAGATGAAGAATCAGCATCTTGATTGTCATCGAGGTAGTCCGAGTCGGAATCTGAACCGGATTCAGGTCCAACAAGATCGTCGAACTCCGCACAAGTCATCACAGTCGGCGCGAAATCA